TAAAAACGGTGTGATGTAAGCTGTTAAACTTTAATAAAAGCAATACATGGTGGACTGCAGAAATAAACGATCTTTTATACACTCTAGCCTGAATATGAGCACAAATAATATATTCTCTTATTGTTATATTTGTTGTTGGTATTTGTTATCTTCATAGGGGTAGAAATAACACTTGTAAAATATGAACAATAACATATAAACAACACATACATTTTTAGAAAGGTTTTTATTTTTAATTAGCCATTAACAGAACCCAAAATATAGCCTACACACCATAACGATTTACCATGCGGGAACAATCGTGCGTTTAGAAGATAAATACAGCAAGATTACTAAATATCAACAGGATATTTACACATCCCAACCCTGCAATTTGTCAATTTGTGCAAAAAAACTTTGCACTATTAATACAATGTCTATCTGCTGCAACATCACTAGTATATTGTTTATTCATTTTCGCTTGAATTGTTTATTTATTTAATTTTTTTGCCTCCGTTTTCATTTGGTTTATTCGATGCCTTCATTATATCTGGCGAGGAATTTACATTCTTTTTAATGTTAGCTGGAGTGTTCAAATAAAACGCCAACAGTAAATGATGTAAATAAATAATATCTAACATTTACAGCTCTATTAGGTTATATAAGATTCGATTTCAAGAACCTTATTATGATTTATAACAGCAAATTCAGTAGATCACTTAATAACATGCCAAAACTTAAAATGCAGAGACGTCCTGTAAAGCAAGTTCAAATAACCTTACAGGAGATCAACGTGGAGATTATTATTTAAACACAAAGAGAATTACTGCTAACGATCTCCTGTATACCCCGTACTTAAATGGGTTTATTTTATTGTGCAGTTTTATTGTCATTTTCGTATTTATTATTATTATTATTATTTAATACTTGTGCAATCGATACAGGTTTATTGTTATTTATTTTGTCCTTTATTTAAATAATTGCTATGCTGTTTGCATCTTTATTCAAAGGTTAAACTTTTACACTGATACACTTTGCGTTCACATAGTAGCATGCGTTTGTTGTTATATCAACAAAAATGGGTGTAATAACGTTAACAAATGTGAGGGTTTTATATAATGAAGATTCAATCGCGCCAGCTCCGGGCATCAGCGCACATAACTCGCGGCGTCGCGGGCTGATTCCGGCTCGCATGCGGCAGCGCCTGCTCGCTCGGCCGCCGCATCTGGCTCAATTGACTCAGGCTGGAATCGGGCAGTGAGCCCAGGCATCCGGAGTAGGTCCAGCAGAGGTAGTCAGTCTGAGGGGTAAGTCTCCGGCAGGCAAGAACTGGCCCCAGTGTATTTTGCTATCTGGGTGGCTAGGCGTGTATTAGCAAACTAATAAAGCCCGAAAAAAGCTCTGACCTTAGCGAATAAACAGTGTTCCACCAGATCATGTATGTCAGAAACTGTAGTTTACTGCTGAACTCATTTTGTCATAGTAAAATATCACAGAAATCGAGTAATAACACTTCAGTCTTCTGCCGAAGCTCAGACGCCGCGCTTTGAGAAACTGTCAATCACAGCTGTCAATCACGATGACACGCCCAGCATTAAATTACTGCTAAAAACAAACTGTTTACAAAAATGAGGATCTGCACCTATTTCAGCACAATAACCAGTGCCTTAATCCACCAGAACCATCTTTCGGGACATTTTATTGCAAGTGTAATTAATTTTTTTTATTTGGGCTCAAGTCTCCTTCATTAACACGGAGGAGGCGGGCTTTATGACTTGTACTGCAGCCAGCCCCCAGGGGGCGATCTAACGGCCGAGACCTTCACTCAAACGCAGGCTTGCGGCACACTTGCGTCAGACCCCTACTGCCTCTTACTGTGCACAATATATATTTACAATATTAACAATCAACAAACAAACAAACAAACCAAAAACAAAATAATAGGAAGGGGAAACACGGATGGACATACACAGTCAAAACTTATACAACAGCACGGGAAGCACAATCAACGATAACAACTTAGCAACAGGAATAACTTTTTCACATCAACTCAAAACAACACGCTAACAAAAAAAAATTGTTCTCCCGCCCCACGCCCGTTGTTCTCTTTTTAAAAGATGAAATGTCAAAAGCATTGTCAATAATGATGTGAAAAATGCATAATTATGACTCAAAAAGTTGGAATTATGACAGAAAAAGCCAGCATTATGACATTAAAAGTCTTTTAATAGCTGAAAAATGCATATTTATGACATAAAAATCATATATGAGATAAAAAGTTGGAATTATTACAGCTAACATTGTGATATCAAAAGTCATTAATGAGATGAAAAGTCAAAAGTTTTGTCAATAATCATGTGAAAAATGCATTATGACTCGAAAAGTTGAAATTATGACATTAAATATCATAATGTTGGCTTTTTCCAAGTCTGTTATGACATGAAAATCCACAATTATAAAACAATAAGTCATATGAGATAAACTAATTGGGATTATTACATAAAAAGCTAACATTGTGACATTAAAAGTCATTTATGAGATAAAAAGTCAAAAGTATTGTCAATAACGAGGTAAAAAAAATGATAAATATGACTCAAAAAGATGGAATTATGACAGAAAAAGCAAACATTAAGAAATTAAAAGTCATTTATAAGATGCAAATGCATAATTATAACAAAATTCATCTATGAGATGCAAAGTTGGGATTAATATGTCAATAATTATATGAAAAATGCATAATTATGAGACAAAAAGTCAACACATTAAAAGTCATTTATGAGATGAAACGTCAAAAGTAATGTCAATAATGTGGTGAAAAATGCATAATTATGACTCAAATTTAGAATTACGACAGAAAAAGCCAGTATTAAGTAATTTAAAGTAATTTATGAGATAAATTGGAGTTATAACACAAAAATCTATCATTGTGATAATAAAAGTCATTTATGAGATGAAAAGTTAAAAGTATTACGTCAATAATTAGATTAAAATGCATAATTATGACTCAAAAAGTCATATATGAGATGAAATGTTAAGGTTACGATATAAAAAAATCTGTATAAAAACGGATTCTGTTTTCAGAAATATATAATGGAGCACATCTTGTGTATGCTGCCATCTTGTAGCTACTGTTTAACATTACAGGTACCTTGGTGAATAAAAACATTGATTTATTTTTTGTTTGAAAATGTTTCTCACCCTCAGCTTTTAGTGCTAATGTGACATCCATAGTAGGAAATCAGATACTACAGAAGTTCAGGGTTAAAGATTTCCAACATTTTTCACAATATCAACAATGAAAGAAACTCAATCCAGTTTGGAATGAGTGAAGTTAGAGTAAACGATTTTGAGAGATGTGGTTCTGTATTTGCTAATTTAAACAGCTTCAAAGAATCTAAAATGCTCCACATATTGATACTGTAATGATTGCTGTTTTAACATTAGGTTGTTTTTGAATTATTTTGGTACAGATAGGTTAAAGTTTAAAATTGAAATAGTTTATATGACTTTCCAATTTAGAATTTACAAAGAAAACTTTACTGAAAGTAAATCATTAAGGAGGGTCCGAATGTGTGAATATAAAACCACTTATACACCAAATTTCCCTATTCAGAATTGAATAACAATTCTCTACACTAATTTAGGAGAAAGTCCGAATATAAAACTAGCTTTACCCCAATTGTGATTTTCCGTCACAGATTCTTCTCATGGAGCAGAATTTTGTGTTGTTTTGAAGCCAGTGGATTCTTTAAACTGTGACCGGAGGACTGATGTCTGACAGCGAGATTCCAGGACTCTCCAGGCGGGTGTCTCGCCACCCGCGGCGGCGTCTCTCCTCCAGCGCTCCCACTCCTCTCATTTCCGGCGGACAGACGAGAAGTTTACCTTTTTGTCGGAAGAGTTTGATATGAATTTAATCTGTCGCCTCCTTCTTGAATCGTTTGTATAGGTCTGGAACGAAAGTTAAAACACTGCCGTTATATCCACCTTATTTTTTATGCTAAGAGCTGACGCGGCCATTTGCAAACTGAACCTGCGAGACATCCGGTGCAAAGTTAGCATTAGCTATTGTAGCTAGACAAAAACAGTTGGAAGTTAAGTGTTCACCGTGATATTTAAAATAAACAAACAAACAAATAAACAAATAAATAAATAAATAAATAAATAAACAATTCAGACTTTTTACAGATTAGCCTATTAGCCTATATGTTCTAGGCAAATTTATTTCTTGATTAGCCTATCTTGCCATTTTTTATGTATTGCCTACTGTCACAAATCCAAGCTATAAGTGTTTATATTAGAGTTTGTAAGATGTAAACGGACATTTAGAATGTTCTAAAAAAATCTGCTGTAAAATCCAGCTTAAACCAGCCTAGACTGGTTGGCTGGTTATAGCTGGTCGACCAGCCTTATTTTAGAGGGCTTTTGGCCATATCCAGGCTGACCAGCTAAGACCAGCCTATATTAGATATTACTGCTATAATAGTGTCATATTAATATTAAAAACCCGAACATGTACTACACATTGTTATTCTTCTAAAGTCTATTGAAACACATTGACAGAAAACAGCTTCAGCATGTCAAATAAAGTGGATGTATTTATAAAGGATGTTTTTCTTTCAGCAGGTCATTTGTCAAAGCTCTGAAATTCAGTCAGATGAAACAGCGGCTTGCTCAATGCAGCTTTGGCATCATAAAATATCTCATAAATGGTTTGAAGACGCAGAGTAAATAATCCAATTAGGCGTTTTGTGAGCTGACGGTGTGTTTACCATGAAGAGGGGTTCATATTTGTGTGTGTGTGTGTGTCCTCAGGATCTGATGTGATTTACTCGCTGATTCACGTTAGCAGACAGCAGATCATCTGAAGCAGCTGCTGTAAAATCAGTCAATGTGTTTGTTTTTATTGTGCAACGTCAGTAAAATATGATTTAGTGTCTCCTCTGTGCGGAGATTTACATAGAAATGATGGAAAACCAGAAATGTAGCAGCCCTTCAGCTTTCAAAGAATAGGCAGAGAGTTTTTGACGGGTGCATTTAAAAAGGTTTACTTGGATGCAATAAAGCTCATCACATAAATCATCGTCTCAGTTCTTTGTTGTATACACAGAAGCATCAAAAGACCAAAGGCACCAAAAGCACCAAAGCACCGTAAAACTAGAGAAAACAAACAAACAAACAACATAGAAAAATAAACAACAAACATTTACAAAACATCTAACATTTTCCAAATAAATCAAACAATAAACAAAACATACCTCGCTCTGCTTGCCGAAGGGACACTAAAAGCTCAAGGCATTCTTCCGAGCTGTACCTGTTAGCTCATGAACAAACGTGAATTGCTCTTACTCTGCTTTGTCTCACTTAAATCCTATTAGTCTAGAGCGCCCTCCTGTGGTGACTCCAATTAGGGCAAGCAAAGCGAGTACATTAAATCATGGGCAGTTACACTCCCACCAAATCATGGTATGAATCAAACAAACAAAACAAATAT